TGATATATATAATTAATGGGTTTATTTTTTTTGAGGGCGTTACATTAATATTCAGTACTAGTTCACGAGATGTTATTATAATTAACACTAAATTTTTTAGCATCCAATTATGTTCAGTTCTTTTAGATTAATAAAGGGCAAATTGCCTACACCTCCCTTGAGTTTAGCTAAATTACAGATTCTCCCCTGAGATTTCCGAAATTACATCCCGCCCCTCGATGTTTATATTCACATAACAATTTAATCCCTACCGTTAACTAAACGTTAAGAATGGTTAGCTAACATCACCAAAAAATAAATTGATGGACGATATTGCCCTTGTTGAAATCCCTTTGATAAATCAACAAAATTTACAAAAGAATTACATTAGATGGAAAAAAAAAAAAGTTTTTGAAACCATGTTTGATTTGTTGTTTGGAAAAAAATTTCAAAAAAAATAAAAATAAAAACTAATTTAATAAAAATAAATATGAAAAAATATATTTAATATGTAAAATATTATTTCTAACCACTCAAAAGATAAAAATTATATAAAAATGATAATTATTTTTTATTTTTTTATTTCTTTACCAAATTAATTTTTAATTTAAAAAAAAAAATTCTAAAAATAAACCATACATAATCTAAGAATTTTTTGATAACTCATTTCTTACGTTGGTAATTTATTTAATTATTTATTAATTTTACGACATTTTTATCATCTGAGGCCTGTTTGGTAACCATTTCGTTTTCAGTTTTCAATTTATATTTACAAAAATTTTAAAAACTGTCATAAAAACTTGTTTGATAATTTTTTTTATTTATAAATGGTTGTTTCAGTTTGTAAATTTGAAAAAAAAAAGTAAATTTAAAAAATGTGTGTTACGTTGGTTTTTAAACAAAAATTTAAAAATTTGACTAACAAATTTTTTTTTTCAATTTTTTTTTTCAAATAATTTTTTTTCTAATTAATTTTTTTTTCAATGAATTTGTTTTTTAACTAATACTAATGGAGAGGGTAATTGGTAATACTGCTTTAAACCTTGGGAAGGGGATTATAATTTCTAAAATGTGAGAGGTATCAATGTAATTTACCTAGTGAGGGCAAAATTGGTATTTAAAAAAATTAAATTGCTGACATCAGCAAAATCTGTTAGTTGACTTAACAGTCAACTAACTGAAGGAGTAATCTGTAATGAAACTTTAAATCTCAGGGAGGGGGATGTAATTTCCAAAATATAAGGGAGAGAAACTGTAATAAATATAAACTTTAAGGGTGTCAATGTAATTTAACCTATTGTTAATCTAATTGCTGGGCCCTTTAATTTTTGTCAAAAAACGATATAGAAAATAATTGATTGTGTTCTACAAAAATTTTAAAATCCCTTTATATAAATATTTACCTCTTTTTTGATGGGTTGCTTCAAAAAATATTTGGATTATTACTCTCCTTCATTATTTGATTTTGTTCAAACTTTTTTTTAAGGTTTAGGATTTCAAAATAATAAAAAAAACAATGATATTGATGATGATGGTGAGTTTTGATAGGACGAATTAGAGTTTTAGATGAAGGATGAAGAAGAAAAAGAAGAAATAACTTTCATCTCTTAGAAAAGAAGATACAAATATTTGAATAAAAATAACTGATTAAAGTGTACCACAAGAAAAAAAAATTATTTTAAAATTTTAATATGTATTATTCTTATTAATAAATTTATATTCAACGTACTCAGTCCCAATTACAAATCTGCTTCGGTTGCTCGCTCCAGTTGGTGATTTGGGTCAACAGTTCACCTTAGGCCAGTTGCAATTTTTTTTCATATTATCAAATCGGTAAATAAATTTTTACGCAATTCTTGCACATTCATAAAAAAAATTAATAATAATAATAATTACGTCAATCTCACTTTAAAAGAAATATAATTATTTTATAAAATTATTCATCAATATGATCTCATCAAATACATGCTATGATTAAAATCCCACTAAACATACCCCATAAGGCATCTCCAACGGTGCATCAAACCCTGCATCAGATTTAAAATTTGATGAAAAACTCACTTTTTTTCACTCTAATAGTTTCACCAAATTAATATCAAAATAAAAATTCACCAAAAGTTCCACCAAAATGAGAATGCGCTGGGTCTTTCACCAAAACACTATTTATTATCGTTGTATTTTCACTATCGGATGACCCACCGGATGATCCATCGGATGACCAATTTTGACAAAAATTTGTACAGATTTTACACTGAGAGGTCGACCAACCGGACGACCCCGGATGACCTTGACCTTAAAAATCTCAGGATTTTAGATTTTTCAGTATCATTTTGTCAAGTGAGATTACCAAATCTCTATCTGCACATCTCAAATTACATTTTCCCAAACAGTATGAGCCAAACCAAGGTTTTGAAAATCGGACCGGACCGGCTGGTTCAACCGGTTGAACCGTCTACCGGGTGAGATTCCGGTCCGGTCAACCCTCCAAAACCGTTCAAAGTCAAAAACCGGTGTATTTAAAGAGAACCGTTTGAACCGCCGGTCGAACCGTCTGACTCGTTCACGGGTCAATCAAACCGGAACGGTTTTGTTAAAAAAAAACAAAAAACCCAAATTGTCTCGTTTCTTTTCAGCCGCAGCAGATCTTCGGCAAAACCTTGCACAGCCGCATCTCTCTCTCTTCATCAATCATCATCACCATTAACGAATCACTCAACTCAACTCAAGCTCTCAACTCTTCTTACAATAAAGAAGAAGACACACACTGCTTGCTTTCCCCCTATTGATTATCAATAAAGAAGAAGACACCCATCGCATCTCTCTTTCTTTCCCTGTTGTTGCTTGCTCATTGAATGAGGTAGATTTTGATCTCTCTCTCACTTGAATGAAAGACCACTCTGAGAACCCATTTTAGAGAATCCCTGTTTTTGGCCCTTTGTTTTGAGGCTGAGCAATGGTTTTTCATCTATATAAAAATTGAGAATGTGCGCAGAGAGATAGTGTGAGTGAGGGGCTTTTTTTATTATTTTTTGAGTAATGGGTTTTCTATTTTTTTTTTAATTTTCTTTATTGTTAGCATGTGAAGTACCAGAACTAAAATATTATTTTTTTTTTAGAAAAACATAACTAAAATATTTAAGAATTAAAAAAAAAATTGAAAATTTATTATATATTATTAATTTATATTTTAAAAAAAATTTATTTATGACGTCACGGTTCGATCCGGCCCGACGGTTGAACCGGTGACCCATCCGCCCAATCCCTTTTTCGATTCATTCACCGGTCCGATTTTTAAAACATTGGGCCAAACTATGCATTTTTCCTTTAAATTAGCCATTTGAGAACAGACCAAATCCTATAACAAGTTTAAATTTGCAAAGAATGAAATGCAGAGGGATTGCACATAGGGTGTGTTTGATTGGACGGACTGGAAAATGGGGGATTGGAATCCATCGGACTTGAGTCCTGGGATTGTGAATCCCCCGGACTATTTGGTCAGATTGGATATGTATCCTGTGTTTGTTTTTTCATGGGATTAGATGTCTGGATAGGACTATTTTCAGTGAATCCAACGTTTGGTTGGACGGACTGGATAGGATAAATGAACAAAAGACTATTTTACCCTTTTTCAATTGTTTACTAAGTAATAGCAATATTAAACATATCTTTAATATTTTAATTATTTTTAGTAAACATTAAACATACTAATGGTTAAATTTTGTTTAAAGATATTTAAACATACTAATATTGATAAAAAAATTTGACTGGTATAGATTATTTTTATTTAAACAAATAAAAATTTATTGTTGAAATTAAACATACTAATGGTTAAATGTTTAAATTTTTATTTAAACAATTAACATTGAAATTATTTTGATGTACAAATTATGTTTAAACAATTAACAATTAACAATTAAATAAATGTTGATGTATAGATTATGTTTAAACAATTAACAAATGTTGATGTAATTAACAATTAACAAATGTAAATGTAATCAAATGTTGACGTATTAAAACATAATTTAATAGATGTTAAATAAATATACATGTTGATGTACAGATGTTGAAATAATTTAATAAACATGTTGATGTACAAATGTTTAAATGTTTAAATAAAACATAATTTAAATAAATGAAATTATTTATTGTTGAAATTAAACATTTAATTGTTTAAATAAAACATCTATTAAAACATCTATTAAATTTAAACAATGAAATTAAATAAAACATAAACAAAATTTTAAAATAAAACATCAATAAAATATCTATAAAAAATTATTTTAAAAAATTAAATAAATAAAACATTAATAAAAAGTTAAATAAAATTATTTTATTTTTAAATTGAGACATTTAAATTTTATTGAATTTTATTAAATATAATACATAATTAAATAGTAGAGGGTCAAAATGGTCATTTTCGCATATAATCCAAACAGTGATTAGTCCCCCACTTTCTGTCCCATCCCCCCAGGATAGGATAGTCCCCCATATGGGGGACATGGAGTCCGGCCGGACATGAAGTCCGCCGGACTAAAAAAAAATTAAACGACAGATAAGGTGCACTATTTAGATTACAATCCAAATAGTGGATAGTCCCCCCTCCTAATCTCCCCAATCAAACACACCCATACAGTTTTGAGCATTCCTCTAGTGTCATAGTGATAGCCTCCAGAGAAACCTTTGGTTGCATCAGCTCTAAGGTACAACATCAGCCATGGATACAATTTTGAGGTTTGTAGTTTATGACTAAAAACCCAACTTTCAACACCCACTTTCTTGAGTTTATGACTGAATTTGGGCTGTCCAAAACTTGGCATAAAGAACCTAGAGAAGAAGGTGATAAAGAAGATACACAACTTAGCAATGTCTACTAACAAATAAAAGGTTTTGACAGGAATAATCAAGAGAAAAAAAAAAAAAAAAATTCATAAACCTTATCGGTCGATCGGCCGGTCAACCTCTTTTCTGACCGGTCAACCTCTTTTCTTTTGGTGCACACCGTTGGAGCTAGTCGTATTAGATTGAGAAAATCAATTATTTTTTATTCAGATTTAATGAAAAAAGAAATGAAACGTTGTAGATGCTCTAATAAATTAACAAAAATGGACATGATATCAAATCAAAATTACCAAATAACCAATTTCAAGAAAGTCATGACCCAGCCAATTTCAAGATCCAGCACTCTCACTCGGGTTGTGTTGTCGGGTCACTCCTTCATCCTTCGCCTCTCGTGGCGCCTCCGCAGAAACCACCGCCGCCACGGCATCGCCGCAGCCCACCGCCCCACTACTGCTTCTCGGGGGCGGGGGCGGGGGCGGGTGAGGAGGGGGTGGGTCGACCCGGCCGTTAATACAGGACCCGCATTTGGCCTCAACCCAACCTTCGAAGTCGTACTGCCCGTGACCCATAATTCGTCGACCCGAACATAACCTACCGATCACGACAGCAATCGCACCCAAGATTGTGATCACTGCGAGAACTGCGATTACGGGTCCGATTGACCCGTGACCCGAGTGAGCTGTGTAAGCTTGTTCGATCACTTCAATCGGTGGTGGTGGTGGTGGTTGCTGTGGCTCTATTGATGCAGACATTTTTTGAGTTGTACCCAAAAACAAGAGAGCAAGAGAGCGAGAGAGTTAATGGAGAGAAGAATATGTAAAAAGATTAGTTTGCATTTGGGATTCACAAGTCTTGAAAAAAAAAATTAAAATGAAGGGTAGAAAAAAAGAAGAGAAGATGAAGATCCAAGGCAATTGCTTGAGATGATTTATGTTATTGAAATGGGAATAAATGGGAGTGGAAGGGAAGAGGATGGAAAAAGGTTGGGGGATGAGAAAAGAAAAAGTGGAGGGAGAGAGAGTGAGCGGATCCAATCTAATTCAGTCCAATTCGGCTCGTTATTCGTTTTAATAATTTGAATTCTTATTTTTATAAGATCGATTAAATAAATTATTTGTATAGAAAATAAGTTAATTAAATATTAAAATTATTTGATCAAATTAAATTTGTCTGAAAAATAATTAACAGACAATAGCTTATCAATTTTTTTAAACAAATTTGTTCATATCTAGGGACTCCAAATGTTCAATAAATTTAATTTTTGATATGAATAATCTATTTGATGAGTTGTATAAAATAAATGGTTGAATTATCAATCTAATTAAGTTACAGCAATGCTAGGTATCATGAAAAATTTTTCATGAAAATAATCATGAAAATTTTGTGATCTTTGAATTACACTTAGAATAAAGCACCACACACTAATCAAGGTAATCCAAAAATCATAAATCTTTCATGATCATTTTCATAAAAAAAATTTCATGCACCCTGACTTTTCTCATTAAGCTATTATCACATCATGTTAAAAATAAATTTTATTCCTTTTTTGATGATTTAACAATTTTTCTTTGAAGGAGGATCCCTCCAGCCACTATTCTGGACTGGATGGGGTTGTTTCAGTCATGAGATCCACTATGAGTCCCGTTTTAATAATCAAAACCGTTTATTTTGTTAGATATTTCATGTATTTCATCTATAAAAAGATTTAGATCGATCCGAAAACTATAACTAATTTAATTTATCATATTTGTCATAAAAAAATGGTTTATTTTTTTTTGTAAAAGTTAAATAAATTAAATTAGTTACAGTTATCAGATCAATCTAATTTTTTTTATAAATGAAATACTTAACAAAATAAACGATTTGAATTATCAAAATAGAACCATAATAAGCCTCACAAGGCGAACTAGCCCCGTCTGGTCCAAAACACATTTTTCTTTTTCAAATGGTAACTAAATACTAGCATATAAAAAATAATATAAAACAATTATGAAAAAAAATATTTGTTTGCAATTATGAGTTATGAATATTCTAATTAATGAATAGATAAATGAGTTATATCATATGAATAAAATTTATATATGATTATTCTTTTGGAATAATGATCACTTTATGGACTTTTCTGGTTCAGGTACTGCAAGAAACTGCGAAAAAACCGGTTTCAAGCAATTTATTTACGAAAGACAATGATAAAAGCCACTTAAAAAAGTGTTGCAGAACAGTGATGCCTGCCGGTACAAGCAGGAACAGTACTTCCCTCTCCTTTGATTTGGTTTGAATCTCTTCTCATATCTAAGGATATAGAGAAATTATTGATTGATCTTGAGGTGTTACGTGACCATATATATCTTACACTAATCACAATTTATCATATCTATTTTTATTCTTCAATTACTTAAATTTGTTAATCTTATTCTTTTTATCAATTACAACACGATGTGCGATACCAAAATCAACCAATAACTCTCAGGATATGGTGGGAAATGTTTTGTGATTTGGGACCACTAACAAAATGTTTCTGATTTTGAATTCAATGATTGCAGGTTGGTTGAGTTGAGCAGTGAGCTGGTGAATTCAGATCCTTCATGGGTTAAAGTTAAAAAGAAAAGAAAAGGAAAGAAAGATGGGAAGATAATTTTAAAATATTTTTCCCTAATCCTCTCCCAGAAAAATTTTAATTTCATTTATGCAGCTTTGGACAGGAAAAAAAAATTAAAAATTAAAAATAAAATATTTTCCTTTTTACCTTCTCCCTACTTTCTTCTCAACCAAGGGAAAGTAGTTATTTTGAAAAATAACTGTGCGGGAAAATCTCACATCGGTCTGTGAGTGACTACTTTCCCACCATATAAGTAGACTGGCTCCTCTCCCTAGCATAGGCCTTTTTCCCTAGTAGGGGAGGAACAAAACCGTGAGCACAGGTTTACGCCAAAGCGGACAATATGTGCTAGGCCGAGGACTGGTGGCTTCATTTGGCGCCGTCTGTGGGAACTCCTTCCGGCACTTGGCTGATTTGCGCCGGTGTCGGAACGAGCTCGGCTCGGGGCTAATGTGCGGGGAAATCCCACATCGGTCTGTGAGGGACTACTTTCCCACCTTATAAGAAAAGAAAAAAGAAAAATGCAATTGAATTGTATACAAGATAAGGCTTAGGTCTTTGGTATTTGACTTTTTGTTGCGACAGTCTGATTGCAGTGTTGAATCACAGAGTTTGGGATTGGACGCTTTCTTGCATATTTTGATTATCAAATCATTTCAACATGCAATTGAGAATTTAAAGGCTAGAAAGATAGCAAGAAAAAAGATGAGCCAGAGAGAGTCTCAAAATCTTTGTCATATTGGGTAGTTTTGGAGAAGATGGTCTATGGATGCATGTTAATCAAGCCAAGGAGTTGGCTATTTATGGAGGGAGTGTAGATGCAAGAATTATCAATTGTAAAATATATATTTCAGTATAAAATATATGATTTACTTTTTAGCCTATAAGACCAAAAATTAACTAATAAAAAAGGTAAAGTATAATGTGAATTATACATTACAGCATAATAAAATTAAAGTTCACCTACCGAGATTTGTTACTCATCCGGAAACTCTTCATTGGCATGGCTCTTGTTCTGGGATTTTTCTACAGCCTCTACTTATGAGCTAGTTGCCAATCATGAGATTGAAACTAATAACTGGCTTTGGTTGTGGAAGCTAAAGCTGTTGGGATCGGGGATCCCGCCCAAGACCTTATAGAAATCAAAACAAGCAGAAAAACACACCCACACACAAGGAGACACAATATTTTACGTGGTTCGGCCCAATGCCTACGTCCACGGGAGAGTAACCGGTTATCACTATACCAATGAGGAGATTACAGAAAGATTACAATAGAGGAGGAGCTCACACTCTCCTCACTCAGCCACTCACCCATCTCCCTCGCTCACACCGAGGGAGACGGTCTCTTCGCCTCACATCTCTCGCACTCTTTGGTTCACGGTTTTCTTCCTCTCTTACTTACTCACACTTTGGCCTCTCCTCTCAACCTCCATTTATACACATTGGAGTAGGTGGGAGTGCCTTTGGGTAGCCTCCATGCTTGACCCTTGACATGGTTGGTGGCTGCCAAGCTTGACTTGGTTGGTTACCTTCCATTGTTGACCAAGGTGTGTTCACAAGACAATTTCCCTTCACATGGGGTGAATTCAACAAAAGCTACCCCAAAAGCTTAAGGGCTTTGTGTGGCTTGTGTTGCATGGCAAGATTCTCTCAAACAACCTCAGGTCAAGAGAGGGCTTACTGATTCTGTTGAGTGCAGTAGATGTGATAATCTTTGGGAGGATATTGATCATATCGTCAGAGGCTGCCCTAACGCAGTAGATATTTGGAGGAATATGGGCTGTTTGGCATGGTTAAATAGGGAACGGCAACTCCCTTTAATTTTTTGGTTGGAATCTAATCTTAGGAAAAAAACACTCTTCTATGTTGGATGCCACTCTTTTTGCTTCTACTATTTGGCAAATTTGGAAAGACCGGAACAAAAAAGTTTTTGAGAATGTTGAACTCCATTGGGCTCAAAGTATTTTACTTGTACATAGATATGCTAATTGTTCTACTATTTTACATCCTATTAATTGTGGTGTGATCATTAACTGGTGTCCTTCATGTGTAGGTAAACTAAAGTTGAACACTGATGGTGGCACGAATGGTGACCCCGGAGAAGGAGGCTTTGGTGGTCTTGTTCGAGATGAGAGAGGTATCTGACTTATTGGGTACTATGGGAAGCTCGATGTTTGTACCAGTTTGGAGGCGGAACGTTGGGCTATTTACCGAGGTCTAACTATTGCTTTGAAAAGGGGTACAAAGACCTTACTATCGAGACAGATTCCTCATCTGTGATTGAGTTGCTGAAAGGAGGTTCTGTGGTGTCTCCTTCGGTTAGAAGCTTGGTTGAGGATTCCAAATTACTCATGCAAAGGTGTGGCTATGGTATCCAACATGTTTTGCATGAAGGCAATGGCAGTGCGGATGGTCTTGCTAAATTGAGAGTTAATCAAGTTGAGCCTCTTGTTGTCATGGACGAGGCTCTTGAAGAAATTCGAGGGCTAGTGGTCGCTGACATGGTTGGGCAGGGCTTCCTTAGGCCCTAAGTTGTGACATCCTGTTTGGGTTTCATTGCCTTCTTTTCCTCTTCCTTTATTTCTGTTTGTTTTCACTTTCCGTTGTAACCAAAAAAAAAAAAAGTAATTTGAGATATATATATATATTTCAAATTTAAAAAGAGGTTAGAGTAATTTATCCATTTTTATTATACATTCATAATTTTCTCACATAGAACCATACAAAACAAAAGTTCCACAAATTACAAAACACTATAACTTCAATTTACAGAGCCACATTTCTTCCTAATTTCCCCAGCTTGTCCTGCGAGGACCCCAACACTTCCAAGCTTGACTATGGATGCTCCAAAATCTTGGGAGAAAAGAAATGGGTACATGCTATAAGAATTCACCATTGCAGCAGTCCTTGGATCCCCCATCAAGGCTTGATCCGATTCAAGGAGTCCCGAGTTCCTCACCAAGTTCTTATAATACGCGTTGTCGAACATGTACGAGGTTGCAGTGTCCAGAGGAGCAAGCATGTTGTTCGATTTGTCTACATTAGGACAAGTGGTTTTTAAGTTGGATAGAAGTGAAGAATCGAGAGTTGGGTCAGGGTTGCCGGAGCCTTTGAAGTTGAACAATCTCCTCTTGAATGTGAAACATTGAGCATAGCCTATAGTATGTGCTCCTACAAGATCAATAACATGCAAATCATTTTTAAAATTTTTAGAAATCTATATTACATTAATTGGATCGTTACGGTATGAGAAGAAACGCTAAGTAGGATGAGGATAATCTGATATATATTACATTACTAAAATTTATGCTATTTCTAAACGTGAGAGCAAATTTATTTTTACAACTACACATCTAATAAAATGTCTATTATTTTTTAAATTAATTATGTAAAAACACATTCATAAGAGTATTATGACCCAATTTTTTAACTTTTGTCTACCCAAACTCTATTCTCTTTAGATTTTTGCAAATTATATTTTTATTTTATGCTTCTAATGACATAAATAAGAAAAAAAACATTTTGAATTGCTAAATTGATTGTTTTGAAATGAAAATATATCATATTTCGAACATGTATTTCAAAACTTAAATTGTTAGGTATTAATGTTTCCAAGTAACACTTGTTAGGGTATTAAGTACCTGAGAGAACAACTACATCATTCATGTCAAGGCCCTTTGATGCAAACTTGGCAGTGATGTTTTCTAAAGGTTCAAAAGGTGATGGCAACTGTTCATTGGCTGCTTTCTTGCTCGCCGTTAACCCATCTTGCCGCCCTACTGGAACATACCAGAAAGGCCCTCCTGACTACAAAAGTAAAAACAATAGAGACTTGAACATAAAGCTTAATTAATTTGTTAAAATAATTACAAAATTTTACTTGAAAAACAGCTTCTCTTGCTGCAATAGTGAGTATGTCAACACATGAAACAGTTGAAGGGCAAGCACTTTCGACATCTGCCTTTATTTTGTCAATGACTTCAAACCCTCTAACCGAATTGCGGTTGGGGAAAGCATTCTTCTCTCCCTCGAAATCTTTAGTGTCATCAAGAAGCACAGAACCGTCACAGCCCTATTATGCCAAAAAAATCAAGAACAGTAAAAGAAGATTTTTAAACTCAAAATGGGGTTTTGAAAAGCAATTTCAAGGAAGATTTGAGTCCTAATCCCATTGTTCCTACAAAGTTATGATAAATTTCTTGGCTGTTAATCCAGCTCAAAATCAAAATATAGTTTAATTTGAGAGAAAAACAATTACATTTACAAAACAATCATGGAAGTGTAACCGAAGAAGGGATGCAGCCATCCTGGTATCATTCTTCAAAGCTGCCGAAACACCAATCTGGACGATCATGAACAAGTTAGGGCATGACATAGCATAAAAACCATAATCAAGTTGGCCATAAGCGAATGGGGACAGAAAAATTATTAGAGAGAAGAGGGAGATAGAGAGGCAGCAGGACAGTTTGAAAACCATGTCTTCTAAATGTGAACAAATTGTTTGTGTAGTACTATTTTCTAATGAGTTTGAGCTATACATGATTTATATTCAGAAGCAAAAGATTATTGAAGCGAGCTCATTGGCTAGTCTTAGAGTGGCAATGGCACTATACTTATTGACTTGTTATAGCCTAATGGCCATGTCTACAAGCATTAATTTCTACAATGGTGTTTCTTAAAATAAAAATAAAAAAAGTGATAAAGGTTTGCTGCAGGATTTCGAGCACTTCTCAAGTTCCTTCCACTAAGTTTATCATCAAATTAGTGAAAAACTTTGATTGGTATCTAACATTTTTATTTCGCGAGACAACTAAGGGGCAATTAAATATCTTAGCTTTAACTTTATGATGCATGTACGCAATAAAAAAGGTAGTCTCAGTGCACAAGACTCTTACTATTGTTAAATTAAGGGAGAGTCAGATGTATACAACTTTAATCCCATAGAGGGAGAGACCGTTTCCGTGATTTGAATTCCATGATGCTCAAATCGTAATAGAACAACTTTTCCATTATGCCAAGTCCCGCCTAAGTTGCAATAAAACAAGTAGCGAAAAAATTGTGCCGAGAAATTTTTTTATTTTATTTTAAAAATGACAAGAATCTCAAGTACTAGTATGCATAGGAAATTTTTTTAAGCGAGTCAGCTCCTAAAAGTGAAAGATAACTTAGATATGTTTTACTCATCTTTAACAATTGGAATTACAGGTGTTACCAAAGAGTCACACTAGCAATACATATTTGAACAGCCACTTTGCATACTTAATGGGCCTTGTATGATTATCTACATTACAAAAGATTAAGATATTTATAGTTTCTTCCTAACATGAAACTAAAATTACATTACAGAAAGCGGCAACATATAATATTTTTGCTACGAAATAATTAATTACCCCCTTTTTGTGTAGTTCTATTGAATATGAAATTTACAGTTGCAAATACATAGCAAATAAAATGTGTAAAAAAAATTGGCAAATTGGCCCATGCAGGTCTCGAACCTGCGACCTTCGCGTTATTAGCACGACGCTCTAACCAGCTGAGCTAATAGGCCAGATGTCACAGTTTTCTTTTCTTTCAGTTATTATAGGCTTTTAATTATAGGCTCTTATGCAAATGGTTCAGTTAGCTGTAAGTAACTCTGAATGAACTATTCTGAAACCTTTCTTCATTAAATATTGTAGGTGTGAGATTAATGAGAACCTTCACTATTTGTTGTTAATGATGCTAAAATCATATCTCTCTCTCCCTCTCTCTCTCTCTTGGCTTGGTAGTTGCTGAATCAAGTTAACCATTCAGCACTTTTTTTCTTTTTATTTTGTTTTTTAAAAAAATGTGCAAGGAATGTGGTTTCACACTTGAGCCAACAATGTTTATCTGCTCGATGTTTATGATGTATAACTTCATATTCCTCTTCTGCTGAAACACATGGGCTGGTTGGTTTTCATTCTTTCAGTATCAGTACCCATGTTTGTGGGGGAAAAAAAAACTACAATTTTCAGTTTCTTTTTAGGGTTCTTGTTAGGACTAATAAGACTGTTCAATGAAAGTAAAACATTATGTCAGATTAAACTGATTTGTGGATCTATGAAGTGTTTTGGTAACCTATGTTATACATACCAACAATTTGCTCTAAGAACTGTCATGATGAATATATCAACTCTCCCTTTATATTTCAAAGAAAAATCATCATCTTCCCAACCTTCCATCACATTTTTTAATGCCTGCTACGGTACTAGGATGGATTTCAACATAGATTATTATCAATACATACACGACTCATAAGTAACGATACACAAACAAAAGGTGCATACAAAAAATACGTACAAAATGATGTGGCAGACTAGTGAGCCTATCAATTTATAACTAAAAAAGAAAAATGTTATACAAACAGAAAAAATATATAAAAAATTTGCACAAAATGATGTGGCTGCTTTGTAGGCCTATCACTTAAAAACAAATAACCCACCAAGATGATTGTTAATTGCAAAATGCCATGATCACATCATTCTAGTAGCAAATTTTGTATGGCTTTTCCGTAAGAAAAGCTTTTTCCTATTAAAAAACTCACCAATATGCATTTAATATGAAATATGCTACTAACACATCATTTTGGTGAATGATTGCGTATGAAAATTATGAAAGAATAGCATTTCCATATATAAACTAGGACACCTCATTTCATTAATCAAAAAATCAGGACCAGTTTGTATAATAGCCGAGAGAAACGGAATTCCATTACCAAAACCACAAGGATTATAAGACCCCAAAAAAAAAAAAAAAAAAAAAATTTATGACAAAACATAGCCATGACCACACTGTCATAAGCATTGACAAAAATTCCTATACATCTAGAATTATTGTTAAAATTGAGGGTTCAAACTTAATTATTGGAAAAACAACTGATTTCTCACTTGTCAACACAACCATGTGAAACTGTAGAGCTATTTTCTAGGACTAGTAGTTGGAAAACAAAATTTCAGCCTATTTCACCGATTACTCCAATGTCGAATTGCCCAAAACAGGAGTAGTAGTGAGTGGCTTCCCTCGTCCCATGGTAAAACCCCTTGTTCCATCAGGCATTCTTGGCCCTTTCGTAGTCTGCTTAGCAGATGCTTCAAACTGGAAGGATCCGCTTGATTGTGGAGATGGGGAAAGTAGGCAACGGCCATTGTGACTTTGACTCTGAGTGCGTGGTCGAGGCTTCCCACGGCCGCGCCCAAATCCTTTCTTTGTTCCAGCTGAATTTTCTTCATCCTACCAATGTGTTTGACATAAGGTTATAAGAAAGACAGAAAATAAAAAAAAACCACACCCCTAAACCTCATTTTCTTTATCATTTTCATTCTTTTTCTATCATTATTATTATTGTTTGGAGGCTGATAAAGGGTTATTATATTGAAGGCATATATATGAAAACCTATGTAACATGGACTCAAGCATGAGTATCAGCTGTAGTTGTGTGTCCCAACATTACTTTCATAAACCTAAATCTTGCGATATTGGGATATGTATCCAAAACGTGGATATAGGTACAGGAATGCGTCATGAATACTTATTATATTGCATATTGTGTAATATTCTTAAATAAGATGATCTAAATTTTGTATAAGATGATCTATAATTAAAATCTCTCTCGTGATCTCATCCAGTTGAGAAGTTATAAACTTTTCTTTACTAGCAAATATGAATTTCTTCTTTTTCTTCAATCATCATAGAAAAAGAGATGATCCATAACCTGCACCCTTATCCTTGCCATACCCAGTGGACACTGGCACTTTGAGGGAAATACAAGAGTCCATATAACACAGATTAAAAACACAAATTCCAACAATGAAGACAGAAAAAAAAAAACCTTACATTATTATCAGCAATCAATTCTGAGATATGAGACAGAGAAGAGTCTTCTGCTGATTCATGGGGAGTCTCACAATCGTCCAAAATCCCATCGAACTCTGATTTTCTGCTCTTCAAAACGGACTTTGGCTGGAAATTCTCGAAAAATATGTTCAAAATACTTCAGGCAAGATAAACATTAGACACAGAAATTACAGAGGAAAAAGTCAGATTCACTCCGATTTAACATACCGAGCATCTAAGAAGCACCCTCACACGGAGGCCTTTTCTCCAGTTTCTCTCATCATTTAACTTCTCAACCTGGAGAAATTAGCAAGCTCTTAATGCCGTTGCAAGATGAGGGGGCAAAGAAATAAACAGAGGAGACAGTGGTTAAAAGGGTTACAAAAGTCTCAACATACTGCTTTATCAGCTATCTCAGAAGTCTCATATTCGACTAGTGCATGGATCTTCAAAAAAACAAAAAAACAAAAAAAAGAAAAGAAAAGAAATAATAAGGATAAAGAAAAAATGCACAAGACATGTGCACATGAGAAACGTGTAAGAAGAGTCTCTATGGTACTTCAGAAACAGATTGGAGTTGAGTTATACTTATACCTTGTTACTGATAACATAATCGCCTTTGGAACGGGAAGAATTAGGTTCCTGAGGATGGCAAATTCGGATGGTTTTCACCCTGTTCATAGCATGAATTTCCATTAATATGTGGTTGAGACTTTCTAGGCATATATATATATGAATACAAGAAAGTGGGAAGGCAAGCACAATAAGTTCTGACCTTCCAACCACACTAAATATTTTCTCGAGGTTATGATGTGAGTGATCTTCAGGTAGATTCTCTGCAACAACAGTGCGCGACTACAAGACAGAAGATGAATGCTCTACATTACACCAAAAAGATTCAAGGAAGCACTTTGGGGTCAGTCAAGGATAATAAAAACAATCTACCTGCAGTTCCTCTCTATCTTTATCAGTGAAAAGGTGTTTACGCTTAACCTTCTTGTTGTCATTGGATACAACCTTCAAAATGTGAAAACATGAATGAGAATAGAATTTTAATTGAACCAAAGAAATTAAACCGCCAATGATTTGTCTCTGTTCTGCTGCTTTTCATCTAGGACTTACAAGATTAGAAGAGGACCGGAGAACTTGGGCAAGCAAATGATGATTACTGATAAGGGACTTGATTTTCTTTGTAGATGCAATAACAGCTATTGGAACTGTTACATTGCCAACATTCATTAACCAAAGTTACTCCAATTCAAACATCTAAATAAGCTCTTGATGATAATGACCATAAAATTCTCTCTCATAATTCTTACCATAACCTTCAGAGTCCTTGTTCATGTGTTTCGACAAAGACTCATTTGCGAGCAAGCTCATGTCACTTAACTGGTACTCAACCTGTCACACAAACAAACCCTCTTTACATTCAAAAAGTTCCAAAAGATAACTCGTTCTCCAAATGAACTACCCAATTAGTACAACAAAGTTATCTATATCAAAACAGGAAGCTAAATAAAATTTCAAAAAAAAAAAAATTCACATTTTCACTTGAAGATCAGACAGTTTAAGCAAAGGCTTTGTTAGTATCAGTTTGAGTCTAGAGAAAATAAGGTAAATCTTTGACACATGTGGACAGTGCAGAAATTGTAGAAAGTATATATATATGTTTTGATCTGTAGAAATAGAAATTGTAGAAAGTATTATAATAGTATTGTCAGTTTGGTAAGCGAAAAGTGAAGAACATTTGAAGAGGAAGATCAACAAGAGCAAACTATAACATGTGAATCATTTGTCAGTTTAAAGGGCAGCTTGCCCAAAGATAAGGTTTGCCATTAGCGTCCATGGTGGTGAAGGCTTGAATCACGGAAACAACCTCTCCAAAAATGGGGAAAGGCTGACTACATTTTGCCTTCCCACACGCTATAGGTGGAGTCTAGTGCATTGGGTCGCCTTTTTAAAATCATTTATCAATCTTGAACGACCATGAAAAAGGTCCTATGGATAGAGTGTGACCATAGGAAGTAAAAAAGAAAAACATACAAGAACTAAACCATGAAGCAGTCCTGCAAAGTTCCTCAAGAGGATGCTATCAGCAGCAACAAGTCGAAAATATATAAGAATCTAAGGTGCCATTTGGTAATACTTACGTTTTCAGTTTTCTGTTTATATTTACAAAAATTTTAAAAACTCAAATAAAAACTTGTTTGGTAAATTTTTGATTTATAAATTAGTAGCCTCAATTTATAAATTTGGCCAAAAAAATGTAAACTCAAAAAATGTGTTTCCGTTTTGAGTTTTCAAATTTTTTTTTTTTACCACCCAACACTAGCCACCACTCACCACCATTTTCCATCACCGTCTTCCGCCACCACCACCCACCACTCACCATCCACCAGCCACCACCACCCGCCGGTCACCACCACCCACCACCCACCATCCATCACCACCCACCACCCATCTGCCACCCACCACCACCCACTACCCACCCACCACCATTACCACCACCGACCCGCCACCATCCACCCCTTGCCATCACCACCACCACCACCCACCAGCCATCCACCCGTCACCACCCACCACCCGTCACTCGCCACTCGCCACCACCATCCACCACCCGCCACCACCACCCACTTGCCCTCCACCCCACCTGCCACCACGCACCTCACTCGTTACCATCCTTACCAACCCTGCACCGTCACCCAATCCACCCCATCCACCCATCCACAACCACCACCCGCCACTTACCCGCCACCATCCGCCACCCACTTGCCCACCACCACCCACCACCAGCCACCACACCCACCACCAACCCACTCAGCTACACCCACCACCCGCCACCGTCGACCGTCACCGTCGCGTCACCCAACCCACCCGCCACCACTCAGCACCACCCGCCATCCGCCACCCACCTGCCACCCGCCATCCGCCACCCACCTGCACCACCACCACCACCACCTGCCACCACCACCACCACCACCACCACCCGCTGTCTACTACCCACCACCCACCACCGTCACCCACCCACCCACCCACACCACACCCACCTGCCACCACCAGCTAGCCACCACCCACCACTACCAGCTACCCATCACCCACCGTCACCACTTTCTACCACCGCTTTCCTCAGCCACTTGCCATTTCTCACTCTTTTTTATATTTTTAAATTTTTTTAAACATTTTGTTAATTACCAAACGCGTTTGTAGTTTATGTTTTTCTAAAAATAAACAAAAAAACAAAAACCAGTTTATAAAATTTTTATAAATATAAACTGAAAACGTAAACGTTGCCAAACACACCCTAAATGTTAAGTGTTGGGTTTGTGGACCCTGATAGGTACTGTTTATTGAACCTTAGGTTCAATGGAGGGTTTGAGGCCTCACCCAAGGGGGGTCCGGCGGTAATTTTCCTGTTGGGTACTTTGGTAATTTCTTTGTTGCTTCCGCGTTGCCCTAATTCTCTACTTATAAATAGATGAAGGGGCACCTCTTGTAGGTTAAGAGATTTGTATTATTTTCTAATCATAGTGAAAACCGCACTAGCTATGGACGTAGTCCTATTCTAGGGTGAACCATGTAAATCCTTGTGTTCTTATGTGTGTGTAATTTGTTTTATCCTTGCTGTTTGTTATTTCATGTCTCACCAATTTTGGTTAGAAAGAGTCAATTCCTAACAAAGTGGCCATGCCTAGATGTAGTGAAAATGCTGTGGGAACCCTCAAGAAAACACTACAGGTTGTTAGCATTTCTAATGTTTGAAGCCTTAATTGGATTATATGTTGCCTTAGCACATATAAAGAAATTTCCCATAAGATTGTGAAACAAAGCATAACATACATATATGATGCTGCCAAATGCTGTAGATCCTTCAAATAGCAATTTCAAAAATTCGGGAAAAGAAACAAATAAAGTGTAGAACTCGTGAAAAATGCAAGAGATCTTTATTCTTAGTAAAAACACCCATCACCAAAACCAAAATTTAGAAAGATATGACCACAACATGAAAGAAACCTGTTTAAAAATTACATTTTATCCTAAGATTGAGAAAATGTTTAAAAATTACATTTTATCCTAAGATTGTGAAAATGTTTTTCAACTTTTCCCTAAAAAATTATACATATGCACCCTAATTTTTTTTCATTCTTCTTCCAAAAAACACGACACCATTGACCTAAATAAGCACATAGATTGAATTCTTATTTGCTTCACAAATAAATTTAAGAAAACATTTTCTTTTATTATGCATATTTCATTGACATAATTCATTTTTATTTTCAAATATTATAGCATGAGGATTCTATAGATTTGAAAGGTACAATGGTTTTATTGTAGTGATATATATATGATATTGAAATAATTTTGAAATATTACCAAATCAATTCCAAACTAAACTTTATGTCCCAAATCGATCCCACTGAGTAACTTGCCTTATTATTATTACCCCCTACATAAATTCGTAGATCTGCCACTGACAACAAATCTCCAAGACTGGTGATTTTCAAGAGGGCAGTAGACCATTTTCATCATCTCTAGACAATAAAAGCAAACTTATATGCAAATACAAATTCATAGAATTACATCTCAGAATGCAAAGTACAAACAAAATAAAAACAGAAAACAAGACCTGTTTAATGATCTTTTGATGCAGATCCTGAGTGAGGACATTTTTCGAATAGTTGGGGAGCGCGACTGTGGAATCGGAGATCAACTGAATAGGTTCTTGATCCCCAACATAAATCCAATCAGACCCACCACTCCCACCAAGAAAATGGAAACAGGGATAGAAATAGCCCGAAATGGGCACCTGGGTTTGCATTCTTGGCACGAATTCGGGTGCGTGAGCATTGAATTTGAAAGACCCAGAACTCGCCGCAGCGGTGGTGTCCTTCATCTCCAATTCTGGGGTTTCTTGAGGCCTTTGCTCACTATATGCTTGTGCCATTTTTACAATTATTATTATTGTTCTCTCTCTCTCTCTCTCTCTCTCGGTTTTATTTTTAATTATTTTTATTTTTATTTTTATTTTTGAATCTATGATCAATCTCGATCTTGGCCTTTCTCTCTCTAAAACAGTGGGACTCTTGGTGGAGGAGTGTTGTTGAACCCTGAAGATTAGTAACTGTAAAACTGATATTCAACCCTCATTTCGCGCCCAAATAGAGAGTTCGTTGAGGAGAGAGAAACTTCATCATCCAATCCCTACTCCCTTCTTACACATGACCGTTGCTTTTGCCTTTGACCAAATATTTTTGCTTAAATTATAATATAACATTTTTCTCTTTAATGCTTAAAGAAAATATTCTACAACTTTGCTCCCTAAATTAGTTTCCATTTTCCACTTTGGTCTTTCTTTTTCTTTTTTTCTTTTTGTAGCAAATGATAAGATGTTAGTGGGATTCATAAGTTAGACGATAATGAAAGAACAACAATAATTGCTCTATCGACTTAAATTTTAAATCTTTAAACTTGTTTACGGTTTATTTAAACTTGTTTACGGTTTATGTATCACCATCCAACTTTAGTTTAATGACTAACTCAAAAATATTGAAAAAATAAAAAAGGTACAAATACGATAATAATAATATTTCAAAAATTATTATAGGGGTGTATATGTAATTTGCCCTAAATTTTAAATCTTTAAACTTGTTTACGGTTTATTTAAACTTGTTTACGGTTTATGTATCACCATCCAACTTTAGTTTAATGACTAACTCAAAAATATTGAAAAAATAAAAAAGGTACAAATACGATAATAATAATATTTCAAAAATTATTATAAAAAAAATGTGTTAATCAAACTTGCTCTGAGACTAGTCTGAATTACAAAAGGTTTGAATCTTTATCATGCACTTTTTTTTTTTTTTTTTGAATGACTTTTCATACTATATTTTCAAATTCCTTAGTTATTTTTCTTATTAGAATCATAATAATGAAGGTGTCCCGTTGAGAGAAAAATAATTTTTAAAAATTGCTCTTTTTTTCTACAACTATGTATTATTTTTACAAAATACAAAAGCAAAAAGTGAATTTCACATGTCGACTCTATCAATATATATATATATATATATATTTTTGAAGGGAACATGTAATATCAATATATATATATATATATATATTTGAAGGGAACATGTAAGTTCTAATAAGTAAACTTATTGTCTAATAGGTCTTATGAAAAAAATTTGTCATAAAAAATGTCACTAATTATAAGTTTTAGTGATAATTTATAAAAATCATGACCAAAAAAAAGTCAATAATTATCAATTTTTAACGACATATATAAAAAATTATCACAAAAAAATTATTTTTAGTGACAATTTTACCAAAACTTATTTTCAATAGAACTTGATAGGAATTAAATTCAATTATTAGGATCTATTGATAGTTTATCCTATATTTTTGAACTATGTAACCATTGTTGGCCTACCAAAGGAAGCTTTCAATTTCAAATGAAAAGTAATCACTTTGTTTGGTTATATCTGTTTTTTTTTTTTTTTTTTTTTTTAAATTGAATTTTTCTTTTTTGTGTTTTTTTTTAATTTTTAATAAATTTTTAAATATTTATGCAGATTTTTTATTGTTTAGACAAACTTAATTTAGGTAAACTTAAAAAATATAATATTTATGAAAGAAAACTTTAAAAATTCACCAAATATTATATTTTAGAAATTGTTTAAAACATATAATATCAAAGTTTTTAAAGTATATCAAATATTTGGTGAATTTTTAAAATTCACCAAAATTATAATTTTTAAAACAAATTCACCAAATATTATATTCACCAAACATTCATTGAATACAAACTTTAAAAACTTCAATGAATGTTTTAAAAAATTTTGTACAAATTTTTATACATTTTAAGTATATCAAAGATTAAATGGATCTAAAAAGTATTAAAAATTGATTAAAATATTAAAAAAATACTAAATATGCAAATTGAAAATTCAGAAAATTATTTTTGAAAACTAGTCTAATCCATGATTTTTTATTTTTTATTTTTAAAGTTCATTAAAATGAAAAAAAATAAAATAAAAAGTTACTACAGTTTTATGTCTCTTACAAGTTACAAGTTGTTTCATTTAGAAATTAAAAGTGAAAATAGAAGAGTATTAAGCCTTCCCTTTTCTTTCTTGAATAAAACGCCACATTTTTTCGATTTTTTTTTTGTTTTGTTTTAAGTGATTATTTTTTTAAGTTATGTAACAAAAAAATTTAATTTTTAGGTATATTTTGGGTAAACAAATCTATATAGTTTAAAATAAAATTAAAAGCCAAACAAAAATGCCAAAAAAAAGAAGCAAGGAAACCTAGCATATTTGCCTCTATTTTTGTCATTTTTGGATTTTTTTTTTTTCAATTTTTTTTCCAGGTCCACCTAGTTGAATAGAATAAAAAAGTGTAAAGCTTTTAAAAAAAATACTAAAAAATAAAAGAACAAAGAAGGGCAAATTACGCTAACGGTCTCTATAGTTTGGAACTTGTGTCACTTTGATCCCTAACTTTTAATTATGATACATTTAATCTTGAATTTTGAATCTCATTTCAAATAAGAATAATTGAAAATACTATTGCTCTATTTTAAGGGTAAAGTCGTCAATTTGATAAAAATAAATGTCAAAAAAAAATATTTTTGAATTTTGAAAATTTATTTCTAGCTACCAAAGATAAAATTATACAAAAATGATAAATTTTTTACATTTTTGTTTATTTTTATTTTTTTACCAAATTAATTTTTAGTATGTGTTTGGATGATGATTATGTAATGAGTGATTGTTTTTGTTGATATTTTTGGATAGTTATCATGTAATAAATGGTAGTATTTTTTGTTAACAGATATTTTTGAATGATTATCATGTAATGGATGGTTATTAGACTTTTAATGTGTAATCGATATATTTAATATATAAAATATTTTTAGTTTTGGTTAAATAATGACATCAAAGTTTTTGCCATATTTAACTTTTCAAAAAATAGAAACTAATTTAATGAAAACAAATATAAAAAAAAATTATTTTCACTCTCCCAAAAGACAAAATTATATAAAAATGATGTGTTTTTAATTTTTTTCACAAATTTAATTTTTATTTTCTTAGTTTTTTTTTTTTGAAAATAGATTTTCAAAATCAAATCAAGCAGAACTTTATAATTAAGAAAGTTCCAACATTATTCATTAAAAAAATGTCATCACATTTCAAATAATACACAAGTCAACCAACACAAAATAAGTTGTATGACAACTTTATCTTTAAAATGGACCATTTACAAAGGAAGTATTTTTTAATGTTCTTGTTTGAAACAAAATTCAAAATTTAGAATAAAATGTACCACAATTTTAATTAAAATGATGTAAGTCTCTCTCTATTGTTTTCTTGTTCCGATCTGGGCCGTTTACTTCAATAATTTCTGTGATTCAAATATATTTGGGCCATATATGGGCTGGGCTGAAATTATCTCCACGAAGCACAGCCGCTTCTCATTTAGGACTGAAATGGCCGTGTTTGATTAATTTGGGCCAATATCTCAAAACAAAAGTAAATCTTAAGTAGATAGATAAATTTTATAAAATAAAGACAAATATGAGATAAAAAGGTGGTTCCATATTGATAGACTATAATTACACATTGTAGGACAAGCGAGGAACCCTTTGTTTTTTTGGGGGCTTGGAATCAGTCTAAATTTGTACTACACGAGGGGTAGTAGCCCTCAACTTTTTCCAACCTTATATGTACCTACAGGTCACTAATGTTCCTCCAGGTAAATTAAACGACTTTTTCTGTTTGATAAAAGTTTCTCTGTTGCAATTTCTTACAAATTAAAAATTGATAATCAATTAATCAAGAGGCTGCTAAATGACTCAATCTTTTTACTTTGAACCTCTCATTTTTTATATTTTATTTTATTATAATTTTGTCCTAATATCAAATTCTAATTTTGTCCTCATTCTATATCCTCAAGTCTAACCCTAACCTTAATCCCACCACCACTTCTACTCCCATTGGCGGCCTTCGGCAACCAACCCACCTCTGTTATTGTCCTCCTTCGATGAGCCTGATTAGGGTTTCGACGAATCGGTTGCCACCACCTGTTATTCATGGAGCTATCAATGGCAGCGAAGGTCAAGGTTTCGGTGACGGTGGAGAAGGAGCGACTGATTTGCGAACTCTCTTTTACGATCTTCATCTTCATCCTTTAGAACCTACTTTCGTTTCTCTCTTTTATGCGTAACTCTCTCTCTCTCTCTCCCCGTCAATTTCTCTCTCTACCTCACAGGTTGGTCGATTTCTCTTCGTTTGGTTACACAGAACCGAACTTGTTGAATATGATTAGTGCTTCACAATCGAACATATGCCTTTTGTTCAGCTACATAGTACCGAACATTAGGCTTTTGTTTAAAATTGGTTTTCTGAACAGCAACGAGAATGGTCGCAAAGGCAAAAAGATTGGTTTTTCGAACTAGCTATCTATTATTCATCTTCATCAACATCAATGTGATTCTCTACAATGGAGGAACCACCTTCTAAACTTGGGTCCATTACACTTCCAACGTTATTACATTCCTTGAAACATAGTTCGTATCGGTTTGATACTCTAAGGAAATAGACCGTTGCTCTATTGTTTCTGTTGCCGCTGTCTGAACAGGTTGCTAGAGAGGGAAGGTCGTCGGAGTGAAAGGAAGATTGTTAGAGAAGAGAAGGAGGAGTTGAAGGTGGAAGGTCTAGAGGTGGGATTCAAAAGGTATATTTGAGATTATGGTAGGAGTCTAAAAAAAAATTAAAGAGACAAGCAATTTTGGTGGTGAGGGGTCTACAATAGAAAGATAGGGCATTTAGCAGCCCACTTTATCAAAAACTACAATTATAAAAATTAAACATATTTCTCCTCTTTTTTATTATTATTAATATATAATATTTTAATAAAACCTAATGAATTATAATTAAAAAAAAATCAAATACAACACATAATTAATATAAAAATATTATTAAAGTATAAGAGAGAAAAATCCAAATAAAATGTAGATAGAAAGTTTCCAACTACTAACCTAGTTGGTTTTTTTCCCTAACTTCTTAATAATCAAAATTTTTAACTTATTTAAATTATTATTTTTTAATAAATTATAGACAAAAGATGCACTAAATATTAACACAAACAATAATAATAATAATAACAATAATAATGATGATGATGATGATAATAAACTAACAACTAATCAACTTCTTTGATTTTATAACTCAGGATTCACTTCTCAGAAAATTAAAATTTTTTATTTTTTGTGTTTTTGTTATTTTTACTGGATTTTTTTTAATATTTAAAAAAAATTAATTTTTAAATGCACCTAACATATATACACTTAAAAAGTATAATATTTGTGAAAAATCTTTAAAAAATTCACTAAATACCAAAAAAATATAAAAATTCAATATATTTTTTGAATTATTGTGTATTTATTAATTTTTTAAAATATTTTTTTGCAAATATTTTACTTTTTAGATATATCTAAGTAAGGTGTATCTAAAAAAGTAAAAAAATTGTTTAAAATTTTAGAAATATTCATTAAAAACAAAAAAATATAAAAAATAAAAAACTTAATTTTCAAAAAATTAAAACCAAACACAATAAATATTTTGCAGTACATATGACCAAAGTGATCTATGTAAATGAACTAGGCACGTTAAGGGTTCGTTTGGGATATGGGTTGATTTTTTTATTTTTTTGCTATTTTAGCCTGGGGCTAAAAAGTCTCGTTTGTGATAAATTTTTTTGACTTTTTTGATTTTTGTGAGAAATAAAATAAAATAATTATAGTTTAAATGTGACATTTTATCTTATTAGATTAAAAAATCTATTTTATTTTTTTGTAATTATTTTAACAAAAAAAATCTCATTTTGTGATATGCCGAACGAAAGCTAAGAGCCCTAATCCACTTTCCCAATCTTTACTAATAAAACAAAGAGAATAATTAGTTTGATTCTGATTACTTGAATTACTTCAACCAAACAAACATAAATTATTAAAAGAGCCCTATAACTACAAAGATTAAGCTAATAAGAGGTTCCATCATTTACACTCAAAATCTATCACCAAACCAATTTAAATAAAAAAAACTAATATATGGTCCTATCAATGTGGGCTCACTCATTATATCCTGTCTATAAAGATTCTTTCTCCATTATTTTGCTTGTGAAAGGGACTCTTTTGTCATGTACTTTGGATAGGAAAATGCCTTAGACCCCCAGCTGGGGGTGCTGGGGGTCTTCTCCTATTGGCCCAAAAAATTGTTTTTTTTTTTTTTTTTTTTTTTTTTTTTTTTTTTGGCCCTTTCCCCCCCCCCCCGTGGGGGGGGGGGGGCGGGTCTCCTGCTGGGGGTCTCCAGCAGGACTGCTTGGATAAACATACCAACAGATTTTCATTAATTTTTTTTCAAAAAATAATAAATAAAAAAAGGTGGGATATGACTTGTTAGGTAGAAGGATTAGATATGATAATATTGAGTAATTTGACTGTTAATTGTCTGTTTGGAAGCATGGATGGAATTTTCATGTTAGCTGGCTCAATTATAAAATTGTATAATGGATTGAGCAGGATAGTATTAAAAAGTAGAATATTATTTTATTCTTTCAACCCTTCATATGAGGGCATTTCTACTATTTTTTATTTTTTTAATAGTTGAATGGTCTAAGTGTATAATTTTGAAATTGATGGAATAAAGTGACATTCAATGATAATTTTGTATAATTAACGCTAAAATGTACCCAAAACCAAATTGTCCGTGGAATGTTTTTAGGTTCAATAAGATGAAAATTCTTCAATTTTATTCTCTATTTGTATTATCATCGAAAATTATTAAACAATCCCAAAATATCATATAACATTATCAACTTAGTGGTCCAATAAATAAGAAATCGTAAAACGCATTAAGTTGATCATTCATTATTTCTCAACTATCTAACAAAGGTAATTCCATATTGTCACATATATAAAATTATTTACCACGTCATTGATCCGATCACATGGTAGACAATGTCACATAATTCTTTAGGACTATTAAATAATTGCCCGCATCAGTAGAACATGCTCATAATTGTCATTGATTGAATTTCTTATTTCCCAAACAGCCCTTATTTAGTCCTCCCCTTGGTTAAATGTTTGGTAGTACAATTGTCAAGGGCTTATTTTGTCTACATCCAGTCTTTTTCATAGGATAAAAAGAGTCTCAGTTCTAATTAATTGATGTTAAAGATGATAATCACACAAAGAAAAAAGTCAAGGCAAGAATATAGCCATACAATATTTACACAAGGATAAGTACAGATCTTGTCTGATCATTTTGCATTATTAAATCACTGTTGCTTAACAATTGAGAATTTGACTAATCATTTCTTCAAACCATGTTTCTTCACGCCCCTAGGGAAAATGCAATTAGCAAAGATAAGATTCCACAATGATTCTCAATAGATAGTACTTAATGAGCCTCACATGCAACAAACAAATACACACTCATCACATGAACCACAGACAAAACTTAGGCTCAACACCAGTGACATGTGCAACACAATCAAACTCACTTTATTCCATGCTAGATATATCTACAATGGTTTATTATTCTGATGCCAATAGAGTCCCAATCAATTTCAACCACAATTCATCTACTAACAAACAACAATGCTAAAATCACAGAATTGAAAAACTGGCATAAGTTACTTGTGGCTATGTAATCTATGCCACTTTTTGTGTGACCGTGTTAGGGACACAAAACTTAGTCATAAAAATTAGCCTAGATTACTCGAGACTATTTGGAACAGAGAACTTGTAGATTACTCGAGACTATGCCACTTACTATGGCTGTATTAGGGACACAGAACTTGTGTAACTGAGTTGTGTCCCTAATATGTGGTTAGAAAAATTCTCTTCATTTTTGTCCAAGAGGAAAAGGTGGAATTCCAAGAATATGCAAGAAAGATTCTAGGAGAGGAAAGGATCAATTCCACCTATACCTTCCTAGAAACTTTGTTGAACAAAAAAGATCTGAAGAGACCTAAAATTTTCCAGCAACTAGACAATTTCACTGTTAGAATTCATGAAACATGGCAATTCTCAAATAAATTTATAACAAACACAGGGTTCTTCTAGTTGAGTGAAACGGGTCTGATTCATTCCATGAACTTCAGGAAATCTTACTTCATGTTCTTTTATGCCGATACAAATAGATAACAAGAACTCAAGACAGAAGGATAGGAAAACTAATCCTGCAAAAATTTCACAGCCTCCCTATATATATCTCTTCTTTTATGTATAATAAGGTATTATTATTTTGTTGTTGTCATGAAACTCTCCTCCCATGCATAGTTTTAATTAACTGCAAAATTCATGGTGGATATATATATTCTATACAGCAACTTTTGCAGATCTGTGAACACGGCTTTTCCAACTATAGCTCTCGGATTTCTCATCTTCTTCTTCCTCCATGCTGTCCCCGCCTGTAGTTGAAGTCCCTCCACCATTTCCAGCTGACTGAAGAGGACCTTGGGGAGAGCCGGATTGTGAACTACTTTGCTTTCGTGACTCATCGCGCTGATCTTGTGGCATCAACAAACCCCCCAAGACGAGCATTGATTGATTTGCAGAAGTGGATGCTGTAGCAGTAGCAAATCTTCGTGTATGAAGTCGGTATTTCTGAAAAACAAATAATATTAAAAACCGTGTTTGAAATTGAAACTTACTCGAAACCTGAATGGAACCAGGTAACTCAAACAAATGAGAAAGAAACAAAGCGACAAATATTGAATACCCACTTGCAAATGAGACTTCACTTCATCGTTGGTGAGTCCATCGACCTGCATGAGTTCTCTAATCTGCTTCGGAGTGGCCACTGCAAAGGTTCAGAAGGATACAATCAGATGTGCATGAAAACTGATGACTTGAGATGATTCAAGGTGCCAAAAGAATTTGATAAAGTTCCAATGTTTTCTCAGATCAATTAGGCCTTTCCAAACACAATTTCTGTCATATCTCAAGGGGTTGAAAGCTCAAGTTGTTCTACATAAATCCACTTTTGCAGATAAAAATTAAAACTTTAAGAGAGGACATTGAGTAATGTCGTATAGTACAACTTTCCCCCTTTTATTCTGTGGGTTAACATTCGACAAGAAGCAACAACACCACAAGAAAAAGCAAAAGCAAAAGCAAAAGCAAACTTTGGGAGATAAGATCTAGACTCCTTATCCACAAAATAAAGTCGTAGAGAAAAAATCACAAATCAAGATTATAAAGAAATTCACAATCAATCTCCATTGAATTTCATGAGCACTTTGAAACTCCAATTCAAGTTCTCACCTTGTGAACCACCAAGTTGTTGCAAGGCATTGATGAACCGTCGATGCAACTCCGGGGACCAGCATCTTCTCTGTTTCCGGGCAGTTTGCTGTTGAGATAGTAACCCGGCCCGTAAATTTGAATGACCATTGAGAGAAGTACTACTAGTACTACCATTGTTTTTAGAACTCAAACCATTAGAGCCAACATCTTCTCTTGAATTCTTAATTCCTGGTGTGAGAAGGGAAAGTCCGGCCACTGATAACTCCTTGTCTTCCTTTCTTGCCGGAAAAACAGGACAGGTCTTAAATGGCATAAATGCCCTCAACCCTACTTTGTTTTTACCAGATTGAGATGGATCATCAATCACAAGGCGAAATTCTTCCCCAACTCCCTACCATCAAAACAAATGCTATCAGTATACACACATCAACGAAAATCTAATCAATTGCAATGATTTTTCTTGACAAAATTGTATCAGTTCTCATATACCTCTCTAAGTTTTGGTACTGAATTTTGTTTCTGATCGGTCTTAGAATCAATGTTTTTTAAATTATCAGTGTTCCAAAGCTGCACAGAGCTCATCCAGTTCATCTTATCTCCTCCACTGTCCTTCTCTTTCTTGGCCTCACTCTTTTCATTTTCATCACAATTTTTCTTTAATGGTATGAATTCTTCTAGTACTGGTTCAACATTTCTTGGCCTACACTGTTTTGATTCCTCTTTCAAAGTTGCAATAGCTGCAACAACAACCAAAAACAAAAACAAATTAACCTTAAAAAACATAAAACAAAACAAACCCATCAATTAAACTCATTAAAAAACAAAACCCACCTCTAGACTACTTTCTCCTTCAATTTTTAATTTTTATTTTAACAAAATTAATCAAAGCCCTAAAAAATTCCAGAAGTAAATCTTAGAAAGAAAAAGAAAATTCAAACCCATACATCAAAATCTAAACCTCAAAAACCAAAAATCCAACTTCGTGAAATCCACAAAATCAAACATAAATAAATTACATATATGATGATTGTTGTATATAAAAGCGACCCAGCTATGCAAATGTTGATGAGCCTAAAACCCAACTTGAAAATAGAAATTATCAGTAAAAAATAAAATAAAATAAAGAAAAGACGAACCATCGTTGAGAAGAAGCATGCAGAGAGGAAGCTCACGTTTAAAGGCATCGATCTTCCTCATTTCATCATCTAACCTCTGAACAAAATCATCAAGCCTGAACAACCTATCAGAAACGCTATCGATCGCAGTGAGTTCCCCAAGAAAATCGCTGATTGTTTTGGGAACATAAGTTGGTCTAACATCTAAGCTCAGTTCAGAAGGAATTGAACCCATTTTCGATCCCTCTTCTTCAACTCTCTCTTTTTCTCTCTCAGATCTTTCTTGTTGGGTTAATTATATAAATATATATATATATATGCGTTGCCTCTAACCATAGAAGAGGGAGAGAGAGAGAGAGAGAGAGAGAGAGAGAGAGAGAGATTTTGAGGGTCCTATATATACACAGAGCGGTGTGTAATTGTGGATGCAGAGAGAGGAAGATGAGGGGATAGAAAAAACCGGAATCTAGAGAGAGAGAGAAAAGCGGTTTATTCTGTGAGTGTAGAGAGAGAAAACGCGAGAAGATTCTGTTGAGCAACGCCGAGTTTTGACAGAGAGGAGGAGGAGAGAGAGCGAGAGAGAGAGAGAGATACGTGCATCCAAAGTCACTTTCGCATCGTCGCGTATTCAATCTGTTTTTCGCCACTCACTCACCTTTAAAACCGATCTAACTCGGTCGCTTTTAAAATGTCTAAATTACCCCTCTATGGATTTTTATTTTTATTTTGGAGAAATGTTATTTTATTATAATTTTTATACAGAATTTTGCATCAGATTGACGTGGTAGTATTGTTTGGTTATCTCTGTTATTTTAAAATTTGATTTTTTTTTTTAATTTTTTGTTTCAGTAATTTTTTAAAAATATTTTACGTAAAATTTTCTTTTTTAGATAATCTAATCTACATATATTTAAAAATTATAATATTTTTAATTTTTTTTAAATTTACCAAATGCAAAACATATTTTCAAAATATACAAAAAATTTAGCGCATTTTTGTATATTTAATATATATTTTTTTACTAATATTTTATTTTTTAAATTCATTTAGATTGAGTGTATCTAAAAAATAAAAGAATTAAAATTTACTAAAAATACAAAAAATTAACAGCCCTTTTATAACACAGCCAAATTAAAATGGATAAATTTTATGTATGAATTTTCTATTTATATGTTACTAACTCTGTGTGTGTGTTATAAATCTAAACCACCAGCATAAACTAGAAGTTTATGTTGAGAAGTGATTTGGGAAGTTGGTAAAAAGTTAATTTTGATTTTTTTTGTTAATATTTATTTATGATGGCACGCCACAATAAAATGACCAAACTACCCCACCCAATTTAAAAAAATTATATTTTCACTCATATATAATCCTAAATAATATGAAGTATATAATTGTAATTTTATATGTGATTTTTTTTCACCTTGTCAAATGATTTTTTATTAAAAAAGTCAATATAACTTTTTTGGAATCAAGCTCCAAACGTAACTTTTTACCGTGTGACCAAAAAATCACCCAATGTATGAGTCATTTTTGTAAATTGAATAAATGTCCAGTAATTGGTATAAAGTACTTCGAATTAGTCAGATTGAGTTACGCGTAAGATTTGCTTGGAGTTAAAAAACAGAGGATAATAAGGTCAAGTTTAGGAAAATATTTTAACCAGGCAAAAGTACACTTGAATCTTTACGGTAGTACTAGTAGGTTTCGATACAATTCTTCTCAACCTCTTAAGGTGGGAAAATATATATAAGTATAGGCTGGAGATTCCAACACGTGTCTGTTATATCTTTACCATTCCTTTTCTCTCCTTTTTCTTTTCTTTTCTTTTCTTTTCTTTATTTATTTATTTAGTTTTAAATTACTATTTCTTTTTTAAATAAAGAAAAAAAGTGGGTATTTTATTAATTTAATAGTCATCCCTATTAATATCTGGTAGGGGAATCTTTGCTTCCACAACAACTTGTGATTTCAAATATTGGTCAATGTTTCCCCACACTCCCCTAACCCCAAGGAAAATAACCCACCATCTATTGTTATACTATTTGTTTGGTGGGTATTTTTTATTGCACTATTTATAATATTTCTTTATTTATTTTAAAATTTTGTATCAAAGTATTTAGTGTAATTTTTATTTATAATTTATAAAATAAAATATCTTAAATAAATAAAAAAAATAATTATCTAAAAGTTGAGGGTAATATACTTTTAACTTTTATTTTTTTATTATCAACTTTTTAGCCTAAAAAAAATTGTACAAAATAAGTCAATTATAATATGATTTTTTAATGATTTAAGATCCTTTATTTATTTACAATCATTAAATTATATTTCAATTTTTATGTATTTTAAAAATTTTATCATGATTTAATGGTTATAAGTATTTTAAGATAAGAACATAAGGACATATAATACCCTTCTTAATTACCAACAATCTCATTTTTCTACTGGTTAGCTTCGCGGAGAAAATCTTATTTGTCTACTTCAATTGCCAAAAGCTAAAAACATTGTTCTCTCTATATATATTTGACTTTCATTTTAGTCTTGAGTTCAACTTTTCATTTTTTTTTTTAATTTTGTTTATGTTGATACAGTTTATCCCAGTAAATGGAGCGAACTGGTCCAAGCTCCTCAAGCCCAAGTCCAAGCCCAAATGATCGAGCCCACCGGATATCCTGCAAACAAGTTCAACGGGGAACGAGGTAGTCCCCCAGTGAACCCTCCGACGATCAAGTTAGGAAGAGAAATAGAGTATATGAGGGGACATTAGAGATAGAAAGCTTGACCTTTTTCTCGTCTACAACGTTCGCTTATATCCTTTGGTAATCATTTCGCTGTCCCTTCCGACCTGCTCTCCTCGCCGAAAGCCTATGCTGTAGCTTACCTTGCTCAGGGTAAGGGGGTCCTGTTCCGGCGGAGAGGTGTTGTCGTAATAAATGCTGTGATGGGCTGCATTAATGGTGATGTGCAGTGGCAATAACTTTGCAGATCTTTGTCTGCTGATGTGGCTCGTCCTTCTCTTGCCGTATGTCTGAATGTCATTGGTTCTTTATGCCATGTTGGACTCCAGCTGTCCTGGACCTCACCAGCTGGGTTATGCACTGGGCTTCAAGTGATGGGCCATAGGTGATTCGTGGCCTTTATGGGCTTATACATGTCAGTTTATTATTAGTATTATTTTATTTTATTTTTGCAATAGAACTGTATTAAGAACGCAAAATATATAAAATCACATATGTGAGATAATACGCGGGTAAAAAAAAATTATATTAAGCTGCACATAATACTTACATGGATTCTGTCACTAATGTTTTCATTTTTGGGTACATTTATGTGTCCCTAATATTATTATTCTGAAATGCATTTGTGAGTTTGGAATAACTTTGAAAAAAATTAAAACTTAAAAGCAATAAGCTAAAGTATTTTTTGTTTTTTTAACGATTGATTACTGATTAGGCTAAAAGCGGCAGCCGAAAGTAGACAAAAAGATTGGATCCAAATCAAATTTAAGTATGTTCTCTAATATAATCATTTTAATCATTCCACATTCAAACAAGGTGCCCAAATTATGTTTAAGAAACGAGAAGTTATTTAGTGTTTTGAGGATATATTATTAATGCGGGTAAGAGCCACACAGTTATATATAATCCGCTATTAAAGGTCAAAGATTTGTATAATCGTGTGGCTCCCAAAGATGTTGAGCAATGCCCAAGAAGACTAATGCTGTGTTTGGTTGGGGGATTTGGAGAGGGATTTGGAAAGGGAAATGGAAAAGGTAGGTGAAATGTGAATAAATCATGCCTATATTTCACATAGTTTCACACACTTTTTCCCTTTCCCTTTCCAAATCTCTCCCCAAATCCCTCAACCAAACACACCATAAGGGTTGGTTTGGGAAGTGGGTTGACTTTTTGGCTTTTTAGTTTTTTGGCTATTTTAGCATGGGCTAAAAAGCTTGGTTTGGGAAGGGCTTTTTGGCTTTTTTAGTTTTTTTTGTGAGAGAAGAGTGTAATGATTATGAGTTGGATGTGATGTTTTGTTTTTTGTGGCTAAAATAGCTTATTTTGTCTTTTGTGGCTAAAATAACCAAAAAAAACCCAAAACCTATGTTGCCGAGGCTAAATAATTTTTTTAATGGCGTGATGCTCATTAGTCTACTTCGACAAATTTAAAGGTGCTCATGATAAGCACCATGAGGTCAACCTCATCATAGCGTTGCCGTAAATAAAATTTAGGGTAAACCTTAATGGCCCTGTTTGGTGTAGCTTAAAAATTATTTATTTTAGCTTTTAGTTTAATTTAAATTATTTTGATGTGTTTGATTTAGTTTATAGCTTATAACTTATAACTTTTTGAAAGTTAGAAATTAACTTATTCTTTGAGTGGGGCAGGAGATGCTTAATTTATAAGTCAAAAATTAGTTTATGTTCATAGTTATAACATATAAGCTGTTTAAGCATAACTTATAAGTACTTTCCCACAACTCTACCAAACAGGGTCAATGTTGTGTTTGGTTTGAGAATTTAGAGAAGGATTTGGAAAGAGAAATAAAAAAAGTAGGTGAAATGTGAATAAAACATGCTTATGTTTCACATAATTTCACACACTTTTTCTCTTTCCTTTTATAAATCTCTATCTAAATCCCCCAACCAAACACAACATAAATAAAATCGATTCATCTAAACCTTATGCTTTCACAAGATTAATAGTATCTTTTTTAACAAAAATTATTCAGTCTTTTCAATGTCTTTTTTAGTAAAAAAAATATTCAGTCTTTTTCTGAATTTTCACGTGGTTGATTTGACTAATAATATTTCATGAATTTTATAAATTATTTTTATTTTTTTCGTCATAAAAACACACAGCTCCTTATTATTAAGCAAGCACACTGTCAACTTAGGTCAAGTTTGACATTCTCAAAAAAACTCAAAAAGTCACTATCCTATTTAAGTCACATCATCTTATTTAAATCACATCACTTCTCTAACACATCATTTCAAACCCAACCCAAATCCAACCCATATTTCATAAAAAGTCAAAAAGTACACTTATTTAGTCTTTCTAAACTTGGCCTAATGTTTTGGAAAAAATTAAATAATTATTTATTTTACAGAAAAAATTGGTCTAACATCTCTTTCTAATTTTTAGTAATAAGAAATGTTTACAATATTTTTTTTTTTTTTTTAATTGCTAGTAAAAATTAGAGCAAATTACATATACCCCCTCGAGGTTTGGCTAGATACCCCTGAGGTTTGAGAAATTACAAATTTCCCCCTGAATGTTATATTTGCATAATAAATTAGGGGGCAATTTGTTATGAAATATAATCATCAGGGGGCAAATTGTTATGAAAATATAAACCTCAAGGGGCGGGATGTAATTTCTGAAACCTCGGGGGGTATCTGTAATTTAGCTACACCTCGAGGGAGTTATATGTAATTTGCCCTAAAAATTATGCTAGGGTTGGATCGACAGCAATAAAACAATAATTCAAACTACTTAACTTAAACAGGAACAATCAAACAATTGTGGTTTTGATTCGAATGCATCAAAAG